TTTGTCCAATTTCAGTCTCTGCTGGTAACATCTCAATTTTATACATGGTAGTCCCAAAGTCTTCCATCTAAAAAATGGCACCGGACTGATTCAATCAGAGGACAAAGAGCAGCAATGCAGAGGAACCATAGACGAAAATAAAGATGGACGACAAGACAGCTCTATGGATGTATAAAGAGAACTGGATACAGCTCAGCGTACCCAATTGGGATTTGCTTAAGTTCTGCAGAGTCACGGCCGGTCACGGCTCAGTCAAATGAATGGAAAGGTAACATTTTACCTTTCCAACTTTAAGTGAATTTTACAACTATTAGACCCTAATGATTTAAATAAGGCCTAGTGTTGGTCCTGATTCAATAACTTTTTGGGCCCAATGATTTCACAGACTGACACAGAAGTGGTAGTACCACCGTATGGCCACTTTGGACATTTGCTTTAACACTTCCATGGGACTTGCACAGCTCCTCAACAGTGAAGCAGAATATCTTGATGGACGCCTTGTGTCTGGCTGCATTATAGAACATGAATCTGACTACGTTAGCTTATGGGACATGGGCCAAGCCAAATCTCGAATGCATCTAAATAAAGTAGTGTCTTGCGAGATGTAACCTAAACTTTCCATAACCTTCACAGAGTTATAGAGATATTATGTAAAGTTGCTGTGTTTTTCTAAACCAATCTCTACCATGGCGTTAACGTCTAAGTGGTAAATGCTAGCAAGCTTGTGTCATGCTCGGCTTGCGATTGGCTCATTCTTGTATGGGCGGGGCTTCGATACTGTGGCTTCAGCCCCTCCCATCTGATCACTACTGCTCAGATTCTGGCTCAAAATAATGCCAAAATCTCAAGATGGCGTTGCATAATAAATATAAATACATCCTGAAAAACTGAAATTGGTAACTCCTTGGAGTTCTGCACGTGTGTGTGCACTTGTAAAAGACTGAAGATTGCATGCAAAGGGTTGTGCTTATGCACATGTTTGCACAGATGCATTTATATATCTATCTTTTTGTCGTGTATGTGTTCACTTATAGATCTTGTCTGGTTGTCAGACTGGACACCGTCTGAAATTGATCTCCTCCATCCTACTTGACTTGTGTAAGAGCATCATGACTGATTGTTGACCCAGTATCACTGTTGTAGTCTCCTGCCCTGATACCTGAACATAAAGAAACCTGTGTTTAAGAAGTCAGTTTGTAACTTAGCAAAATTCAGTTCTGTCATTTTTATGAATTAAACTTATGAATTAATATGTTGTACTTTTACCCTACATATATGAATGAACAGAGAAGATTGTAGAAGGTTTGAATAAAAGATGAGGTAACTTTATATTAAGGTACACAAATTAACCATCAACTAGTTGTTAATTAACATGCATATTAGCAGTATATTGGCTCTTTATTAGTCATTATAAAACACTTATTAATGCCTTATTCTACATGACCATATTCTACAAGTAATAAGCCATTAGTTGAGAGTTTTTCCTCATTAACCCTCTAATTAGTGCTTATTTATTGCAAGTAAGGAACTTATTGTACATGAGTTTTGGTCTTAATATGCGCTGCTCAATATGGGCCTAATAAGGCCGTAGTACCACAAGAATAGTAATTCTCCCATAATAACACTTAACAAATATAATCTATTCTTATGGAACAAGACATGAAACTATAAGTGTTAATTGTGTCTAAATAACTTAAAATTAGGTATTTATATCTCAGAATATGTTCCTTATTTTAAAGTGAAGTCTTGTTCATAACCAATAAGCTATTAGTTTGACTCTAATTAGGTAGGCTATTTATATCTAAGAACATGTTCCTTATTTTAAAGTGAAGTCTTGTTCATAACCAATAAGCTATTAGTTTGACTCTAATTGACCTGAACAGGTTCCCTATTCTAAAGTTGCCTCCTCTTCACACTTTGTAAATACATTATAGCACACAACTACTGAAATTAACCTCAACAGTACATGAACAAAGTAGGCACACGTTGAAATATCTGTTTTATTAATGAACCACTAAAGAGAGGTCCAGACACATACATGTACCAACACATGTCAAGTTTCTCCAAGGCTGAGAACACATATGCAGCCTGTACTTTTCAATAAAAACAGATTTTTAACAGAGTTTATGTATTTGTGATCATACTGTGTGACCTGCTTGTATGTTCTTACACAATAGGTGTACTGTTCTCTCTCTGTGTTGTCTCAGTGTGAACATAGATTAAACAGCCAGCCAAACTCTTTTGAGAGCCAGGGAATGAGCAGCCATGCTCCTTTATCGACTTATTTGCAGTCCAGTGACATTCAAACGGAGTGAAACTATAAAAAAAGAAGTTACAAGGCACTTAATGATCTCATACATGCAAGTGTAACATACACAGATGAACACATTAGGACCGCTTAGTGTAAACAAGGTAAACATAGCTAATGCTAGCTGTACAATAAGCATGTATACAGGCTAGTATGTCTAACGCTAGCATGTATGCTAACGCTACCGTGTCTGCTAACGCTAGCGCGAATGCTAACGCATTTTCTCATTGAGTTTAAACATCTCCACATGTCATCACATAAACACAATACATGTTACTAATCCTTACAATGTAAGTATAAGGCTCATACTTACACTTACAGTCATTGCTTTCTGACGGACTTGACCCTTTTACTCTTCAGGTTGCATAGTGAAAATTAGTGGCAGTGTACTCATGGATGTCTACTGCCATTATATTCCGTTCACGTTCTCCTACTTCCTGTACCCGGGTCTAACCTTCAGTACACATTTTACAAAAATATAAATGTGCAAATATGAAACATACAGGTCAATATCACCTTGCTATTGGTAGCTGAACTGTCAATACCCCAAAACTTATTATAAGATATAAATACCTAATTTTGAGTTATTTAGACACAATTAACACTTATAGTTTCATGTCTTGTTCCATAAGAATAGATCATATTTGTTAAGTGTTATTATGGGAGAATTACTATTCTTGTGCTACTACTGCCTTATTACGCCCATATTAAGCAGCGCATATTAAGACCAAAACTCATGTAGGCTACAACAACTTCCTTACTTGCAATAAATAAGCACTAATTAGAGGGTTATTGAGGAAAAACTCTCAACTAATGGCTTATTACTTGTAGAATATGGTCATGTAGAATAAGGCATTAATAAGTGTTGTATAATGACTAATAGAGAGCCATTATACTGCTAATATGCATGCTAATTGACAACTAGTTGATGGTTAATTTGTGTACCTTAATATAAAGTGTTACCAAAGATGAAGATAATCTGAAATAATAAACACATGGAAGCTCTCACAAGTAGGATTACTTGTGTAACAGCTCAGCACGTTCAAATCATCTGCTCCATTGACTTTATTTGTGTGTACCTAGTTAATCCTAATGACCACTGATAGAAGACACAGACAACTCTGTGATTCTGTTTGAGCATTAGTATAGAGAGATAACAGGCAACACTAGAAACTGATCAAGTCTGAATGACTCGTATTGAACATCAATCAATTGTAAACAGTAAGCACTACAATCGGGTACGCTGCTTTGATTAAATCTTGATTGGAAGGCTCTCGCCCGATAGAGCAGAGAATGTTAAGATTGAGGCCTGAAGTGATGGCCGCAGGGAGAAAGATTACATCTGAGTTTATGTAGTCATCCATGTCATTGCGTGCAGTCAAACTCAATATGTGGAAAAGAGCCAACCAAACACCGACACACATACACACTGTGAACATGAACAGCAGTTTCCTGCCAGTGAGTTAAACCAACGCACCCCCGTCATTGTTCACAACATTTCTGATGTTGCATAATTACAATTAACTGCCAAAAAACAGCCAAATGACAGCCTGCACCAGGTATCTCTTTAATACAGAGCACAACCAATCCTTTATTTAGGTTTTATTGTCCTGAAATGTTAAGCTGCTAAAACAAACCGTTACCCACTTCCTTTTTTGTATTGTTGGAAGGAAACCAGAGAAGCAAGCAGAGTGACAAAAAAAAAAAAAGAGGGCCGCAAGAGAAATAATAAAAAGTGAAAGTGCAAGAGATTGATGTGACGGGATGCAGTGGTACCAATACCACAGTTCAGAAACACCATTTACTATAAAAAATAATTTACTTTTATTATAGTAATCATCTACTTTTTTGGTTTTTACAACAAAGTGATTACAGAGCAAGTGAAGACATGTGAAGGGAAACTAAATCCAAATGAGTTTATAAAAATAATGAACTCTATTTTCTTAACATGCTTTTGCTCCCTCTCCTTTACAAGTAAGTGCAACATACTCAATTATAATTAAATATATTGCCATCAAAATAATATATAATGGAAAGTTTGAGGTCGTCCAAAGGAGACGATCAATACCCCTTTCCAATCTGCACTATAAATATGAAGGGACAAGCTCAGCTCAAAGCCTGCAAACAGCAGAGAACATCCAGCCTGGCTCTGTCCTCAGGTAAGCACTAACCAGCACATCTAAGGCTCACAATGTACCACTATTTAAGTATAACCTGAACCATGGAAACAACATGTAATTACATTATCAAAAGTAAAAGTATGTATACTTTAGATTTGTATATATTTGAATGTTTTTACTGATGCATTAGCAGCTTTTTTTAATGGTGTAGGTGGGGGAAGTTATACCTAATTTATATATCGCATGTACTGTATAGCAATGCGTTTTATCATCTACACCTACAGTAGTATATGTTTTGAAAAACCTAATCTGTAAAGTCATCAGTAACTGTAGCAGGTTGAGACAGACAGAAGTAAATAGAGGCCTTTAACTTTCTGTCACCTCATCCCCTGTGTGACCTCCAGCCAGATTTAAGGACAGGGACAATGGGCAGGTCAGGTTAATGTGTCAACAACTTTGGCTTTCAGGCCCCATTGTGAAATCCTCATGTGAAAAAGTGCAGGCCACGTTAAGCTGTCATAGCAGAAAGGGAGGGTTTACAGTCTAATCTTAGCGATTGACCCTCTGGTATAAAATGCTGCCGGTCGCAGAGAATTAGTGTGGACATGCTGCTTGATCACTGAGCCTCCAACCATTTCCCCTTTCTCCCAACAGTTTACCATCATCTTCATCAGCCATGGGTGTTGCCTACAGCGTCGTAGAGTAAGTGAATCGAATCATCAAGATAGCGGTGAACATTGTTATGCCAGCTCCTGAATATAGTTGCGTAATCTGGAGTTCAATCAAACGGTACTTTGGTTCACTTGTTTCAACACATTCAAGCAAGAAAATGTAAGCTTAGAACTGCAAAGACCTTTTAATCACAAGAAAGTTTGTAATCCAATCTTCTAATTGTAGCGATCAGTGTTCTTGGTGTTTTGGCAATTGCTACAAATGTGCAGAGAAAGCAGGAGTTAAATAAGTCATTCCAAGGTAGGAAGAGGTTTACTCTGAAATGAGTACTGTAACTGCTATTAACAATGGGATGGATCTCAGCCTCATTTTGCTCTGACGTTGCTCTCTTTTTGGGAAGGCAACATAATTCAAAACAGGGGCTCCTCCTTCCTATTCCTGTAATCAGCTTTCATCAGCCCAGCATGATTAATGCCTGAAAACATTCAAAGCATGCTTCACTTTCCTGCTATTCATGTCCAGGCATGACTCACAAGATAATAGAGGTTTAAGAGTGACATTCTTTAACTTTGAATTTGATTTATTTCTCATGAGAAATAGAGAGGTTGGGCCAACTGTCATTATTGCTCAAAAGTTAAAAGAGCAACATACTGCATGATTGATCTGACCATACTGATCTGAATGTTATAGATGCATTTACTGGATAGCAGATAAGATAATGTAATAGTTATCTGTTTATTTATTTTCTGATACAGTAGGTAATTGTAACCTCTAATATTTCATGATAAAAGCCCTTTGCTTTTCAAGTTCAACACTAATGCTTTTAGCGAAAGCAGGCTGCATACTACACTCTAATCTGTTGAGGTACAATATAAAAATGTAATTTCTTCTTTTGCTTCTACAGGGTGGACCATTTCAACACTTTCTTTGTGCAGTTGTCCCCACAAATCTACACTAAGGGCAACAAGAGGCATCGCAAACCCCGCTTCCTGTTCAGCGAGAAACACCAGAAAGGCTTTCTTGTAGTGGAGAATGAGAAGGCTGCTGTGATCAACAAGCTCCTCAGTGACCCTGTCTACCCCACTGCTAACAACTGGGAGGTAAGATTTGCAAAAATGCACACATGCTGTTAATATGTCACAAAATCCCTCTGTGGCTCTCTGACGGCAGACAATAAACTCCACAAGTTTATAACATTCCTGTGTAGTATCTCTGACTTACAGTAAGTGAGGCCCTAAAGTGCTTGGCCGTTATCCCAGAGGTTGTGGGCAAACCCACTCTCTCTATATATGGACATCCTATCTCTAGTACCCTCCTATAATCCCAGAACCCCGCTTAACTTTCCAGTTCCAAAGAAAGGAAACTGTTAAATGTAAGAGACAACCAATGAGAGGCCCCACAACCACAGTGTCAAACCAATAGGGTTTCTGACACAAAGGGTGGAAGTAGACCGAAGAAAACATAAGTGATGAACACTGCTGGCAGATTTTTGAGAGCAGACATGTGGATTTGCAGAGCACAGAGCTTGAAAGCAGAAACTATGAAGCTGCTGCCAGATAATATCAAGGTGCTTTATTTTGCCAGTGACTATGTGGAGCCGTATGTTGAGGTATGTAATCTTGTTAGATGTACTGCATTTATGATGTAAAATGTTTCTTTACTTTGGGTGGAAAATACATTTTTGTAGTTCCTGATATTATTGCATAATTGATATTACATGTGTTTTGTGAATGGTATTATTATGTTTTATATATCACGGTTATCGCCAATGTCTGTAAATAGATATTTTTCCATGCATCCTTACACAAGTTGTGATCCAGCTATCCAGTTATGAATGATTTTGTGATGAAGTTTGTTAAGGCACCACTACCGGCGCAATAACATGTTGACCCTTCAGCTTTTCAAGTCTGTAATGGCGCATTTCCACTGCAGCGTGTAGCACGGTTTAAGCTTGCCGTGCCAAACCCAGCCCGTTTTTTGTTGCGTTTCCACTAGGGGTAGTTCTGGCTAACGGGTACTGTTTCACAGTTTGTCTGGCCCTCCAAAATCCAGGTTCTTTCCGGGCCAACAACCGGGCTGAGTATGCTAAACTAGAGAGAGAATCGCTGGCAAGGGGGCTACAACTACAACACAATGAACATATTTGACCGTGATTTAATTGTAATACACGTTTCAAAATGATGCCGAAGTAACAACATACTGATACCGGTTAGTAAAAACCATGAATTAATGCTTTGACAAGTCTGCAGACAGACGGCAGGCGAAATACCTTTTTTTAAATGCGTGTTTTCTGAATGGATATCGGCTAAGCTAACGCAGTATATGCTCCGACCGTCCACACTCACAACAACGGCCTACAGACATAAATAAACCAGCGACTGTATTCGCCATGACACAGACAGTCTGTGGTTTGTACTTGTTTAACTTTTGTCTAGTTTCTGAACAGATATGAGGAGCTGTGAGCTCTGAGTGCTAACAGCTAACGGCTGTGTTGTTTTTCTGTGGTTCGCACTGAAGATGACGTCACGGCTCCGCCTACACTGCGTTACTATAGTTACTGCCTCAGCTACTAAACTGTAATGAAAACGCAGCATAAAGTGAGCCTGGCCTACCAAGGCCCTGCAGTGGAAATGCGCCATAAATGAATCACTCAACCACAAGTTTCTGTATGTGGTGTGAAGGAAGCTTTCGTTTAGTTTCATTTTGTGTCCTCCTCCAGATTATCACAGTAAAGGACCCCAAGCGGCGCCTGAGTCTTTGCAGCTCAGGATACTCGGAGGGGCCGGATTACCAGGAGGAAGTTGAAGATGCTCTTCCTGTTCTGAGCGACGACAGCCAGCTGTTTGAAGACCACCACCTGGAGAAAGTACGTTATATCCGGCCTCATTTAGAAATGATCTAAGTACACAATTTAACAACGATTCCTGCCAATTACATATGAGACCATTTAATTAACATCTAATTTTTCCTACAGCTTACTGCTCACATGCCAGTGAGGACCCAGGTCCATCCCTGGCAGCTGGTCTACAGCACGGCCATCCACGGGAGCAGTCTAAAGACTCTGTACAGGAATATGGCGGGTCTGGAAAGCCCTGTGCTGCTGGTCATCAAAGACACACACAAAAAGGTTTGCACCTTAATCTTTACTCGACAAGGCTGTTCTTCAAATAAATGTAGTCAAACTGATTATTAAATATGTGAGTACTCCTTAATGACCCGATGTCTTGGTCCTTGCAGGTGTTTGGGGCTTTTTCTTCCGATCCATTTAAAGTCAGTAAATACTGCTACGGCACGGGAGAAACCTTCCTGTTCAGCTTCAATCCTGACTTCCAGGTAAGAGTGGACTTCCACTTAGTGTGGTTAAATAATCTTATCTATCAGCAAGCCTGATTATTGGTGTATTATTATTACCAGTAAAGTTTGCAACCATTTAAGGCAATTCTCTATAATAGGTGCTTAACAAATTCTCAGGAAATATTATGTGTCAGAAAAAAACATTTTTGAGGAGCAAGAATTGCATTTTACTTTTGAAACATTTTACCAAGATTGAATGTAAGTGTAATGTATTTTCATTTTGTTCAGGCATACAAATGGAGCGGTGAGAATTCCTACTTTGTGGGAGGCAACTTGGAATCTCTGCAGATTGGCGGAGGAGGGTAAGTAATGTGGTTATTGACCGTATATAATAGTAACTTTAAGTGCTACCTATCGGATATCTGAGACTGCAGCATCTAAGAGCATACAACATGATCTGCTTTAAAAGGTTTTGAAATTAAAGTTGTATTATTTCCTCTTCTGTAGGGGTGGATTTGGCCTGTGGCTGGATTCTGATTTGTACCACGGCTCAAGCTTCTCCTGTCCCACCTTCAATAACGAGTCTCTCTCCACCAAGGAAGACTTTATCGTACAAGACCTCGAAGTCTGGACTGTGCAGAGATGATGGTAGAACATCTTAGAAGATGAGCTTAAAACAAAAGCAGAAGCCACTGTCCTGTTTGGAGTTAGAACATGCCAAGACTTCAAGGAGCATGTGTGGTTTAAGCCACTGCTGTAAAAAACCTGCTAGAATAGCTGCTATCATCGGTGTAGCCGGCTCAGATCAGCCCACATACAGTAGAAGCCTGTTCTAGCGCTTCTCTGGCTGTCTGTTTCCGCTGGCTCAACCTGTGCCTGTTAAAGACAAGAGGCAATCCTGCAATCCAGGGTGCTGCTGTCTTAAACGGCAGGCTATTCTGGCTGCTGCTTAGACCAGTTAGCAACTGGCGCTTTAAGCCCTACATGCCATCCTTTTGCTTTGGGAGCATTATAATACAAAGTTCACAGTAACACTGTTGAACAAAAAGTGTCTAACTACTGCAAGCACATTCAGAATTTCAGGGAAAACTATTCCAATTTTCTTTCAGCCATGTGTGTTTGAGACATTTCAAAAAGCGTATTTAAAGTATTTATCTGCGTGAAAGTTGGTGTAAGAATAAGTGTACACATATTCTATTATTATGACAAACAAACTTGAAGACAGAAAGAGACAACAAACTAAACTAAAGGGCACATTTTTCACATCCTGGTAAAACGCTTCAACAGATGCACTCTGGAATATGTTTGTAATTTGTTGTTTTCTATCTTAAAAAGGCTTGTTTTAAATGTTGTCGTTTTTGAAAACTATACTGCTGCAGTTCGAACCACTCAGGTTAAGAAAAGTTAATGATAGAGTTGCCCAACAAACTTCTTTACTTTCTGTGAGGTGTGTGGTTATACATATAAATAAAGGAAGAGACCTCAACTGTTAACTGTCACTTCCGTTTTTGGAAAGTCTCACCTGTCTGCCTATTTGCATACATAGACAATATTTTACATGCTTTTATGTGAATGTTATTTAAGTAAAATCTAAAAAGTAAAGCAAGCTACATTTTTGGGCTGTTTGTTTGTTTTTAAATTGTTTGTATGTAAACCAGAAGGTGCTGGTACTGCATGTGTCATTTTGTGGAACCACATAACAATTTTGGCTATCCTTGCAACAAACAATGTGTTCATAGCTTTCATAGTTTATTATGAATACATCTTTAAAACAACATCATCTTTTCCACTGAGTAGCCTACGCTGTTTTTAATGCAAAAACAGGATTGGACTATACTGTATTTGAATTGTCATAGTTTTGTGACTCTCATCCTTTATACAGTCTATGCTCTCATCACACACTGATGCTGCGATAAAGAAAACAACCACATTGGCCTTTTCCTGATAAATAATCACACAAAAACGTAAAAAGGGGATGTAGTAGACTGTAGAGAACAATTGTGAATTGTGAACTTGCAAACAACATGTTTGCTGTAAATGTTCAGGCAGCTGAAAGCCTACTCACCCATCAAAGCTGCAATGCCACAAGCTTACAGGACAGGACACCATGCATGGAAATGACCCCGTTCAATGACCTGCACACAAATGGAACAACCTAAATTGAGATATTAATACAGTACAATTCAGAAGAAAAGAGGTGGTTCTATGCCTTAAATGTCACTGTTCATTGGGGCCTTGCTAGCCCTGGAAGCTTCACAAATAAACACAACACAAGCCAATTTGACAACAATTGCACAGCATTAAAACAAATAAAAAGTACCTTAAAAAGAAAACATAACAAACTACACAGTTGGGACAACGGGAGCTGTCCCTGAGGGAAAAAGCGTGTATTTTTTCAGATAATTAGCAAAAGGCTAATGCTAGGTCAAACAAAAGGACCATCATTCCAAAAAAGAGGGAGCGAAAAGTTAGAAAGAACTGTAAAATAAGTCACCATACGTTATATATTGAACCACGTCGCTCTCTGGTGGCAGCATTCGTCCCTTACAATTGCAATCTGTAGCGACACTCCTTTAGTTTCCCTTGTGAGCTCGATGAGCTCCGGGATAGACTGCAGGACTTTCTGTTGACAGTTCACAACAATGGCAGAAATCGAAGCAGCACAACCGGCTCAGGTTGATGTTTCCAAAAGTAGCAACGACCCAGCTGAAGGATATGAGAAGAAATGTATTTTCTGCAAGATTGTAAACAAAGAAATGGGAACGGAGCTTCTTCACTGTGTGAGAATATGGCAATGATTAAATAATGTTGAGTGTCAAGCTAGCTAGCTTTAGCCTGCTGCCTTTGCAAAACACTTGTGTTAATAAGCAGCCCTGTGACAAATAGTGACTTTGTGAATATATAGCTAGAGTCGAAGTGTGATTTTCTCTGAGACCATCTTAGTTTACTGAGCAATTATTTTATATAATTAATGCTATTGATTATAATAATAATAATAATAATTCCTTACATTTATTATAGCGCTTTTCCAGATGCTAAAAGCGCTTTACAAATACACATTACACATATCATACATGCAATGGTCATGTACTGTGGACAATACCCACAGGAGCAAGTTCAGGTGAAGTGTCTTGCCCAAGGACAATATAGTTGTCTGCTTGTGTTTCCCCTAAGGTTATTGTGAACGTATACATTAATTGTGTCTACTCTCAGTGGAGCTTTCCATTTTAAAACCACAGCTGTAGGAGAGATAAAGCTTAAACGACATTTACCCGGGTAACTGACATGTAGTCAAAAACTAAGGTTGGTTCTTCAGTAAACACTTTAGTTTCACCCTACTACGCTGCTTCTATTCATGAAGCTGATCCATTCATCTGTATTTGATGACTTGATTATTTCTCTCTGCTGCAGGATGAGGAGATCTCATGTTTCAGAGACATCAAACCTGGAGCTCCTCACCATTATCTGATCGTACCAACCAAACATGTAGGAAACTGTAAATCACTCCGCAAAGAAAACGTGCCTTTGGGTAAGGTTTAGCTACACTACTACTGCTACTATTGCTTATGCCTGTGTAAGGGTTGCTCTTGTAACTATTTACAGACTGCTGCACTTTATAGCTAACTAATAATGTGAAGTGGAACTTTTAACTTGTGTTAACTATTTGCCACTAAATTAAATATGTTGCTGTGCTGTATTTTTAATGGGAAAGTGTATTATGTTCAAAAAGTAACACAAGCTTTGGTTGTCATACCCAGTGAAGCGCATGGTCGAGACAGGGAAGGAGATCCTCCAGAAAAACAACATAACAGACCTCAATGATGTCAGGTAAGCTCGACTCAGTGGTACTTAGTTGCTACAATGGGACTATGGGAAAACATTCCTTAAAAGCTTTTGTCACTTGATCAGCAGGTCATGGTCCAGGTCAGTATGTCTGTTATCAAATAGCATTATTTAAGGTTTATTTTCCCTTTACAACCAACCACCACAATAATCATCACTGTGACTGTCAAATGAACAAATCAACAGTCTGATACAGCTCAAAGATAACAAACATTATACTATCAGTACACCCTAACAGTATCCCAATGGAAATGGATCATCTTCTAAAATAAATAGATAACATATCTTAAAGGGGCACTTAAACTGTGTAAACTTTTAAAACTTGTCATATCTTAAGCTAGTGAGCATGTGTGCAATACAGCTCTTTCCTTTGTCTGCAGGTTTGGTTTCCACTGGCCCCCCTTCTGTTCTGTCACACACCTACACCTTCATGTCCTGGCGCCTGCCAGTCAGATGGGCTTCATGTCCCGCCTCTTCTACAGACTCAACTCCTATTGGTTCATCACAGTAAGTTCCACCTTCAAAAACCTGAATCTGCAAATATTGGAATCAGCAGTTCAGACTTTAATTAAATCAGACATTTTAATATTTTGCAGGCGGACCAGCTGATTGAGCTTCTCAACTCTAAAGGAGACACAAACTGATCACACACCTTCAATACTTACAGTTCTTGACTTTTAACTTCTTTCTTCTTGAAGATGCCATGTTTGATGATACACGCTAACATTTATGTTAATTTATGTTAACATTTATGGCTTGTAATGACAGTATTTTAAACTGGTGACATATTAGTAATGGAAGCCGAATCGTGTTTCTTGCTACTTGAGATGTGTTAGATATGACACACGTTTTTTTTTCAAATGTTTTTACAGAAGAAGATCATTCAATCTTTTTTAATATCGGACGTAATAAAAATGCACGTATTGTATGGACCAAGGAGCAAACGGTGATATTCACCTGTTTCAACTATTAACACCAAAGGAGGCATTCTTATTTTTTTAACTGAATGTGAATGTGTGTTGAGTACAAGAATATAAAGCCCATATGAATAACAAGCTTTTTTGATACCTTGATATGCTTAATGATTTGGAAATCAGATTTGATGCATGTATAACTGAGAAAAAGTATAAGTAAGGAAAATGAACTAGTGTTATTCATATATTGATATAACATTTTGGACAGCTGTGAGTTCCTCAGCTATGTTAATGTATTTATTTAATGATGTAGAGAGTAACATCTTCATTAACTATGTACTGTAGGGCTCCTTTACAACAAAAGCAGCTACATATTAATGAGCTTGACAAAAAAACGAGGCATTTGTTTAAAAATGACATTTGATTTCATGAAATTCTGAGGATTTTTGAAGTTAATGATTTGAACTAACCTGTTGGTGAATGAAGTGAATATGTATGCTATGACGAAACTGCTGTATACTAGGGAATGTAAAGAATAAACATCATACTGTATATACTGTATGATGTTGTATGCACTTTAAGAATTAATTTAACTAAGAATAAATAATAAATTGCCAGCTCTCAGTGTGTTCCTAATGCAGTGAGTCCTTGGTATCCGTTTACTCCTCTCTTCAGTCATTAGTTTAACTACAGCAGCCAGTGCTTACAGTTCACAACGCACCCACAGTAACAGCATAACAGACAGGGCACTACTCATTTCTTTATTATAATACCGAAAGCAGTTATTGCAAATTTAACAATCTACTACTGCCTTAAGAAATAACTTTTACAAGCAGCATTTAATATGGCATTTATCAGTCAGTGCATAGCTTATAGTGCATTTCATTTGAGCAGCATTTGTAGTTTATCTATCTCAGTGTGGTGCAGGTGTACGAAATTTCAAACCGGAAAGGGTTAAATTACAAAGCACACTTGTAATAAATTCATGCTCTCAAGCACGCTGGGATCAAGTTCATCCTATAGCACCATATTGTCTGTCACAGGCAGCCTCATGTTCTCTTTTGCTTTAGTTCAGGCTCATCAACCAAATTAGAAACCTAGCAAAGGGAATATAGTGAAAGGTATTTGTTTGGCAAAGATTTGATAAAGCAACACAGAGAAATGTAGTCAGTGAAATTGTGTAAACATGAAAATTGTAAACATTTTGAAGCCACTTAGAATACATATTAGGTTGATTTGGTTACAATATCTTAGCTGTGTCATCGTCACTCTGTTTCTCTTTATTTGTGTTTTTTATATTTGTATTTTATAATTTTGAATAACTCTTGTTCCAGAGTTTTCTTTTTCTGTACTTTTTACATTTTTAGAAGATTGTTTGTAGCATGAGGAGAAAATATGTCTCATATACTAATGTAGGTGTTTTCCTTGTGTGAGCAACTCAAATCAAACATGTCTGTCTTAATAAGAGCATCATTACATAACTTAAATACAAATATTGCAATCTTTCTGATATCTGAATACCACAATGAGTGCTGCCATGAAGTAGCTCTATACTTGCCACTCAATATACTGCATGAAAGTTGAATGAAGGCATAAATGTTCTGATCACGGCAACAGAGTGATAACTGCATGGTCATCCTTCCCCTGCCAAAGCATCTCCCCCTCGAAGTCCACCAGCCTCTGCTTCCTCGCTCGTAGAAGAACCCCCACCAGTTTATTAGAGATGGTCACATAATGCTCGAACAGTTTCCTAAATTCTACGGTCACCACCTTTCCATCGCCTCCTCCATCCCCGTCTTTGTCTCCTGGCTCCCCAATGTTCCTGATCACCTCACACAGCTCCTCAACTTCTCTGCTTATATGTGTGTGAGCATCCTTCCCCCTCTGCTCTGTCATGGAGCCCTGCAGGGGTTTCCCGTAGTCGTCCTGGCCTCTCTGGGGGGCCGCCACACTGGGCCTGGTGCCGTGGCTGAAGGGGTTGAGCTTCTGATACTCCCGGTGCTCATTGGACCACTTCTGCCAGTTCTCTTTCAAGCCTTTCACAGATACAATGCACATTGCAGCTTCATCGCAAAACTGATTGGAATTGGGGACGTCATCTTCAGTTTCTATGATGGTGGTGCTCTGGCTGCTCGTCCCCATCACTGTCTCTAATGAAGAGAATATTACAAAGCTTTAACTGGTATGGTATACACACATTACTGCAATGTTATCACTCAATGAATATTAGCCAATTGCTGTTTTCATTCAATTGTTATTTAAAAATCAACTTCCTTAAATAATCTACTAAAAGAAGAGAAAAAAAATTCTATGAATTTAAAGCTTTACATTATTTACCTAATTATTGACGTTGTCCTGTTTGCTGGGTTTTTATGGGGAGTATTGACAGATTTAACCCATAACAACAACAACAATACAATTCATTTAAACTAAAGAAAATGAAGATCAAGAATTATACAATCTGCTTATAACATAACCTATGTCTTTACAACCTATCAGAGATTTGGAGTAAACAATTATAAAACATACTTCGACTCAAATATCACTCACTGCCTCGATCCTCACTTCATCTGCAATGAGGTTTTATGTTATCCGAAGTGCAAACAACACATTCATACTGGAGTACCGCTGACAGAAGTAAGAGTGCCGATACTTCTCTCTCCTGAGGCAAAAACCGCTCTGATGAACATCTGTCTCAACCAATGGCGTGTTTGAGAAGCTTCGAACAGCCAATCACTGGCCAGATAGGGCGGCAACGACAAGGTGTCAAGTAAAGCGAGTTTATCCTAGGAAGGAATAGATGATATAGCGCATACGACTGAGTGAATGTTGACAAACAAATGATTATAGGCGCGACGGTTACTCTTTTGGTAAATCACGCGAACCAACCAACTTTTTTACAGTAACATTTTCGACCAGTCTACCCAATTTCATTAAACAGCTCAAATGTACAGCAGCAACAGTACACATATTGGTTCAACCGCCTGTAGTGTAGACAGTATACTATTACGCACATAACACATTCCACAACATAATGTCATACAACGTAGTTACACTGAAAGAAAATAACATGCCTTTCCATTTATGGTAATTTGGTCCCCAATCGGTACTATTCTTTCGCAGCCCTGGTTTCAAGCCGGACGTATTTTGAATCCGCAACAAATATGGCGACCTCCGCCCGTCAATCATGCCTCAAGTATTTGTTACATCTTGCCCAAGATAATCTGGACTTCAGGTTGCCGGTAATTTATATAATTACTCTCAGTTTCTGTCTGACTATTACGAATGTTTATAGTTCTTTGTTTGTAAAATCTGTCAGAGAAGAGTCCCTCCTCACGTGGTTTGCTGCGTTAGCTACATGCTAATCATATATCACTGTATATAGATGCTAACTGTCAAATCAGTGTGATAACGTTTAAGATTTGATGTCACGCAAGAATAACACACTTACACACTGTTTTTCCAGCTGGAACTACATATGTGCGCCTGTGTTATTTGGTTAATTCTACAGGAATCCCCACTGATATTACTCATGAAATAATATAATTACTCATGAAGATTATATTGAATTGATTGTGATTTGTGATCTTGCAGGAGATTAAGTCCTTGCTGGCTCTCAGAGGAAAGCCGTTCCATCATAGTGGAAACTTCCAAGAAAAGGTTTGCAGATCAAAAGCACCTATTACAAATCTCTATTTTCCAAAAACCCAACTGATACATTTATTGGCTTTGATGATTTATGATGAAGGTTTCTTCTTGTCTCTTATCTCAAGACTCCTTTCTGGTGTCTGGATGGGTTGTCCGAGGAGGATGTCCGCGGCGTCATGGCCAGATCTGTTTGTGCAAAGTACGTTTTAATTGTTAAGTTAGTTTATTTTTGCTTTATGGTCTTGCACCCGTAGTAATGCAACAGCCTAAACATGCAGCATATAATGACATCCATCTGAACATGTGCCACAGTAGTCAAGATGTAGCTGTAATTTGTGCATTATCCTTGCTTTCAGGTCTGCCTTTGAACTTTGGGGCCACGGAAAAACGCACAGTGAGCTCAAAACATCCCTCTTGAAGTACCCAACAGAGAACATGGTTTGTGTTGCTATGGTGTTGGACAGACCCTGCTGTTGATATACAAACAAACATGTTGTAAGCTAATATGTTTATTTTCTATCTGTGCTCTTCTCCTTATAGTCACCATTCATGTGCAAAGACTCAACTTACAGAATCAATGTGTACACTTTCAACAAGACTCTGGAGTTTGAGGACAGAATCAAAAGGATTGATGTGAGTATTTAGATGTATCTTTGATTGCCTTCATGTATTTATATGTGTGTGCAGGATGTCATGTTTTGTATTTTTCCGCCAGTCCATGGACTATCTTCCGTTTGAAGGGACAGTGAACCTGAAGAGCCCTCAGCACATCTTCTGTTTGTTGGAAGATTACGGCACAGACCCCAACGACATCCCCGAGCATCCTAACTACATCTATTTTGGTCGATGGGTGAGATACATTTGACATTTGTTTGCATTCAACTGATAAGAGGTGATCTGCAACTAACCACTGTTCATCTTTACACCCTGCTGCGACAGATAGTGGATGGACAGCGGGAATTGATTCGCTCCCACAGCGTGAAGAACAGACACTTCATAGGAAACACCAGTATGGATGCTGGACTATCATTCATCATGGCCAACCACGCCAAGGTCAATAAGAATGACCTTGTCTTTGACCCGTTTGTTGGCACAGGTGAGATGATCCAGTCAATGACTCTCACTCAAATAAATAGATATATAAATAATCACTTATTAAGAGATATCTTTGCAAATTAATTTTTTTTGTCTTTTGATCTGTTTTCAGGGAGCCTGTTGGTAGCATGTTCTCATTTTAGAGCCTACGTCTGTGGAACGGATATAGATTACAACACTATTCATGGTAGAGGTAAATCTACTCTGAGCTTATTTTCTTTTCTGGCTTCATCTTAGGTTATGTTTTAATTGAAGCTTGCAGATAAAACCTGTTCAATTATTCATGCAATAGTTTGGTTTCATCATTCATATCTTTATAACACTAATATACCACTGTATCTATTGTTATACACGTGTTTACATTTGTATTGTTGTAGTACAATGTGCACCATTTGACTTAGCTTCCTTTACCTTCTTTTTGCTTATTTAAATGTAACTTGTTATGTTTGTATAAAATACAAATATTATTATTCTGTTTTTTTATAGATTACATATTTAAATAAAGTGTTCTGATTCTGAGATATTGTATCAGGTAATTTCTCCGTTCACAACCAACAGTGGCCGGAACCTGCTCTGAATTTCTGATGCTATCCAACATTTCTCAAAGTGCCTTCCTCTTTCAGGTCGGTCAAGCCGTAAAAACAAGACGTGGCGAGGACCTGACGAGAACATCAGAGCCAACCTGCGGCAGTATGGAACAGAGGACATGTATATAGACGTCATGGTGTCTGATGCGTCCAAGCATGTGTGGAGGGAGGCGGCCCTGTTTGATGCCATCATCACTGATCGTAGGTCTTTAGTATTACAAACTTGTGATAAATCAATAGGTTTTTTTTCACTGAAGCAGAGTTGCAGCAAGCATGTACTCTAGCTACACAAGTGCAAACATATTAAATTGGCTATCATAATGGGATAAACAATTTTTTTCTGACCTCAGCTCCGTATGGTATCCGTGAGTCCACAAGGAGAACGGGCTCTCACAAAGACGTGATCAAACCCCAAGATGCCATGTAAGTTCACTTGATGCTCAAAACATACCAACATTTGTTCCTCTGCATTAAGTATCACTTATTTACTCTAGTTGGACTGTATTGTAATCTAGTAAGTAAAATTGCCTAATTAGGTGGACTTAAAAATAGGAAACACTTTGAAATGTTTTGTATCTTTTGTTAATGTTGTGTTTTTTTTGCCCTGGTCCAAACTTGTTTGTGTTTCTTTGATTCTTCTGCCCAGCTATGAAGAGTCTCACGTCCCTGTCACTCAGGCGTACCACCTGAGTGACATCTTCACAGATCTGTTGAACTTCTCTGCCCACCACCTGGTTTTGGGCGGGAGGCTGGTCTATTGGCTGCCTGTCTACAGACCAGAGTGAGTATGCAGACTTAAAATACCTTATTTAGATTTATTGGGTTTCCCTTTCCTGTAGTATGTTGTAGGTTTTTGTGCATGTAAATGGTCTGCAAAGGCTAAAATCCCAAAGTGCACGCCAGAAGATGTTTCTCTCCCACACACCCTCCCTCCCGCCTGAAACGCCTTGATTGAACTCCTTTGATTTCGGCGACATAGTGGCTGCATCTCACTTCTCTTAACTTCAATCCTTGCGTCCCTCACTTGCGTATTTTCCTTGGGAAAACCACGAGAAGGGAGAAGAAGCAGGGAAATGAGTTTTAAGAGCAATGGGATGTCCTTTCCTCGGAGGTCCGTTTGTGATGACGCCGCACAGCTGATCGTCTGACAGCAGCCAGCTCTGTCCCCGTTTTTTTCAAACACCCCCGCCTCTGTTAGTACACATTTACTGACATAAACATTTGTATCATCTGTTGTAGACCCAAATAAATAAAATAAGAACTCATTCTCAAAAAAGATAAACGCCATTCTTAAAATGTATAAACGAACAATAGTTTGATTAATATTAATTAGAGTGCACAATATAAATACAATTATTGAGAGAAGAAAAAGAGATATGTTATCTATCAAAACCATTTGGATTAACATTCATTGGATTGCACACTTTGTTGTTCAGATATATCACATATTTGTAACTAAATGATACATTAATTGAAACAAAACACGGTATAAACTGAGGAGTGTCTCCCGTGAGGTTCATGTATTTTCTTCACTCCGCTGGGAAACTGCTGTCATGTCAAGAAGCAACAGATCAGTGCATGTGCTGCATCGTCCAATCAGTGAGCGATACACAGTAGGGGGCGGGGCGAGTGGCTGAGGATTTCACCGGAGGATGGTCTGGTGGTTCCTCGATTATTGGTCCTCCGTTATCGCTCCTCGATCCTCCGGCACAAATAAGGGCAATGGGACGCTACTCAAGATGGAGCAGAAAAATCAACTTCCGGTGGGACAGAGGAGTGAGGAAATGAAAAATAAGAGAAGTGAGATGCAGCCAGTGACATCACTAAGTAGCACTTGCACTTCTATTGGCTAGCTCTCCAACACATGTATGTTATAGAGTAAGGGGCGGGACATCTCTAACGGCCCGTCCACACAGCGGCGTGCGTTGACGCTTGCCGGCGGGCGTGTCTGACACTCGACCAACAACCAATCACATGAATCTCCCGCCCCAGACACACAAGCACGCGGTTTGATTGGCTAGAGCTTGTACTGGCATATGATTCGATTGGCTGACGCCTCCGTTGAAGCTTTAAAAGTAGAACATTGCTCAACTTTTGAAGCGAGCAATGTCAGCAACGCTCCACGTTGCTTCCCAAAATGCAGTCCGGCTAAAAGTGACGTCACCCCATTCAAAGTGAATGGGCAGAAGTGTTGGAAGCTTAAACGCACGCCGCTGTGTGGACGGGCCGTAAGTGGTTGATCAATCACAACAGAGCCGGCCAGCTAACCAATCAGAGCAGACTGGGCTCTGATTTCAGACAGAGGTTGAAACGAGGTGCTGCAGCACAGGCAGTATGAGAAAAATAAAGACCTTTTGAACATCAAAGCATGTAGAGGCACAAAATACAAATATATGATCCTGAAAATACGCATAATAAGGCCCTTTTATAGTTTGCTGTCATTGGCTATCACAGTGCCATCCAGCACTTTAAAGCTTATTCATTTCTGTTATAAGTAAAGTCAAACTGGGTCTTTGACGAATGTAGCTGTATATTTCATTACTAAATTGGACGTTTATTGTGTCCTTATTGGTTTATATTGAGAACTCCTCCTGCTGGTGCCTCTCTCAAAATATCAATTTGCATCAATAGGGGGCAGGCATAAACCAGAACTGCACGAAACAGGCTTCTAGAAAGGGCAACATACAACATTGAAAATCTTTTTTTTGGCCGGATTAATTCCCACAATTTTGAACAAAGACTTATTATAATGTAAACATGGTTAGTTGAAAGACGATTAATTTATAGGGTAGTGTAAATTAAACACATACAGTAACGGATGT